TCTTCATACTTTTCTACTGGATGGTTAAGACCAAGGTAAAGCAGGACCTATGCAACAAGAGTTGTAGCTTTTTGGTCTGAGAAGGTCAGTGAAATCCCCTCAGGATTTATCCTGAGATCCTGTACCTCAGATTGTAGAATTTTTGTCAGTGTCAGCCATGTGGATGAGTCACGGCCATTGCTTGGCAATTTTGAATATTTTTAAAAAATTCTTTAAACTTATTAATTGGCAGATTGTGAACAAATCCCTGAAGAAAAAAAAATTCACTTTTATATTCTTTACAAACTACTGTATAAAATACTATTTTACTTAATAGATTAGAAACTATCCACTTCTTTTGAAGGACCTCCTAGAGAAGAGCTATTCAATGAAAGTAACATTGTGAGTCCTGTGTAGCATGTATGTACGTATGTATGTGTGTATTTATTTATTTAGTTAATGTATTTGCTACAGGGTCTACAGGGTCTCACTATGTAGATTGGACTAGTAGTGATTTTCCTGTTTTCAGTCTCCCAAGTGCTGGGATTACAGGTGCGTGCCACCATACCCAGTTTCAGTCACCATCTCAGTGCACCCCGGGGGCAGGGCTGGCACTGCAGGCTGGGGATCAAACCCCAGCCACTGTGTACTTCCTAAGCAGGAGCTTTAGTCCACTGAGCTATCTGGCCAACCCTTCCATGTAGTATTTTAAATTTTTAGTAACAGTGGGGAAACGAAGCTAGATATGGTAGTACCTGCATATAATTCTAGCCACTCAGAAGGCTGAGGCATGAAGATCAAAGTCTGAGCTCAGCCTGGGTAATGTAGCAAGACTCTCACAAAATATAATTTTAACAGGGATGAGGAGATAGCTTAGTGGCGGAGCACTTGCCTAAGATGAGCAAGGCCCTACAGGAAAATAATTTTAGCATATTCAACTCAAAATATCTAAAATAAAATAATTTTGACATGTAATCCACATAAATTGCTATGTAGACATTTATATTATTTTTCTAACACTCATACTTTAAGGTTGGCTATGTCCCTGGCATTTGCAGCATATCATAATGTGCTACAACATTCTCACTGGAAATAATTCATCTGGCCTAACCACTGTAAAATTTACAGTTAAACAAGTAAATATGCATGCCCACATTGTTCTAAATATGCTTATATGTTTTCCAATAAGTGAATTGTCAGTTTTACATTTTTAATAAAATAAAAATTCAGTGTATCAACAGCCCTCGCCACCTTCCCAGTGCTCCACATTGGCAACAGAGATGAAGCAGGTCAGATAAGAGTACCTGTAAAAGAGGCCTGTCTCTTGCCTCAGGAGGAAAACGCACCATTTCCCAAGGAATAAAACCCCTAGTTGGGCTGCCCACAGTCTAATCAGATTATCCTTGTTGGTTAAAATTAACATAACTTTGCATAAGAGCCAGTTTAACAAGCCAAAGTTGGAACCATGGTTATGTTCGTGCAATCCTCCGCTTCCTTTCTTGTATCCTGATGAATTTATGAGACTATTTACTAAACAAGGTACTAGTTGTTAGCTCCCCATACCCTACTTTATATCCAGTCATCTTCAACTTTCCTCAAAAGCTGTGAGACAGAGGACAGCTAGTGAGCCTGTCAGTAACACCGTCAAGGTCACACTCCTAATGAGAAGGGGTGCAGCCAGAACTCAAATCCAAAGTGTGAAGAGATTAAGATGTCAGTAGAAGTCCACTCAACACCAACATTCATGCTTTTCAAACCTTTCCCACAGCTCTCTCAGAGGAAGGAGGCAGAAGAGAGCTGCTGCCTTGGCCATCTACCAAGGAGACTGGGAGTGAAAGGTTTCCTGAGAGGTACAGCAAGAGATCCCAGGACAGTACCTTGGCCTCTACCTCTGGTGACCCTGCCCAGCATCCAAGAGACAGTCAGAGAGTCCTCTTTTCCAGCTGGAGCCATGGAGGGTACAGTAGAGAAGAAAAAGAAGGTTCCTCCTGTGCCAGAAATCCTTACAAAAAAGTGAAGACATTTCACAGAGCTGAAGATAAAGCGCCTGAGAAAGAAGTTTGCCCAGAAGACACTTCGCAAGGTGAGGAGGAAGCTCATCTATGAAAAAGGCAGGCACTATTATAAGGAGTACAGACAGATGTACAGAACTGAGATCCGAATGGCTAGGACAGTGAGAAAAGCTGACAACTTCTATGTCCCTGCAGAGCCCAAATTGGCACTTGTCCTCCAGATCAGGGGTATCAGTGGTGTGAGCCCAAAGGTCCGCAAGGTGTTGCAGCTTCTTCGTCTTCGCCAAATCTTCAACGGTACCCTCGTTAAGCTCAACAAGGCTTCAATTAACATGCTGATAATTGTGCAGTCATAAAGTGCATGGGGCACCCAAACCTGAAGCCAGTGAATGAACTAATATACAAATGTGGCTATGGCAAAATCAGTAAGAAGCGAATTGCCTCAACAGATAATTCATTGATTACTCGATCTTTTGGTAAATATGGAATCATCTGCATGGAGGATCTGATTTATAAGATCTATACTGTTGGAAAACGCTTCAAAGAGGCAAATAACTTCTGTGGCTGTTCAAGTTATCATCTCCATGAGGTGGAATGAAGAAAAAGACCACCTATTTTGTGGAAGGTGGAGATGCTGGAAATAGGGAAGACTAGATTAACAGGCTTATTAGAAGGATGAACTAAGGTATTTACCACAGTGTTTTTATGATTTGGTCAGTTAAAAAAGTATCTGTTTCCAAATTAAAATGGAAAAAAAAAAAGAGACAGGCAGAAATATTTGTTTACTGTTTCACCTACACACCTGTTCCTTTTTACCTAGGTCAAGCTTCCAAAGCACTTGAAAAGGAAGAGATTCTCCACAAGTAAAGAAACAGCTTCCTAGGGTACGGAAATCTGCCTTAAGTCAGAACCCATAGGCTTCTCAGCTGGGACCCCAGCCCACATTTGTTCAACAAGGGGGTCAACTGCTAGGGAGCAGCCTGTCAACACTCTCTTCAAAATGCAAGTACTGGTCTGAGGAGATAGCTCAGTGGTCTAAGCGCCTGCCTGGCAATCACAAGGACCTGGTTTCGATCCCCTATACCACATGCTGTGCCAGCCCTGCTCCAAGCCAACCACTGAGACTGGGTGTGGTGGTGCATGCCTGTAATCCCAGCACTGGGGAGGCTGAGACAGGAGGATCACTATGAATCCAAGTTGTATAATGAGACTCTGTACCAAATAGATAAATAAATAAATAAAACAGATTTATAATTTTTTAGAAAATTCAATTATTATGCCCAAGAGAAACCTTCTACCATATGGATACAAGGCATATAACAAGTGTTTGTTTGTTTGTTTGTTTGTATGCATTATTTGGGATTGAACCGTGGGCTTTCCCCAGACCTTTTTTATTTTTTATTTTGAAACAGAATTTTGCTGGTCACTCAAGCTGGGCTCAAACTTGTGATCCTCCTGCCTCAGGCTCCCAGAGTGTAGGGTCCTGTTTCATATAAATACTCAAGCAGACAGTGTCTCTGAGGGAAATTCATACCCTCTCTCATGGCACAGACACATGTCTGTTGAATCTTCACTTTGTAGACCGATATGAGCAAATCTCTAAATTCCAAGCCTTGTTGCCTAGCCAAGAGGCACCTGAAAGTGGATCTACACAACGCATGGCACAGTGCTGCTGTTAGGCAAATTTATGAAGGCGTCAGAATACTTTTTTCAGAAATATCACATGTAATAAATCCCTTACTTTCAAAATACAGGGACCGTGGAGATGGCTCAGTAGAATAAAGGTTCCCTGGCAAGCACAAGGGCCTATGTTCAATCCCTGGTTCCGCAAAAAAAAAAAAAAAAAAAAGAACAAAATACAGGAAAGCTATGTATCTTTTCTTAATTATGAGAAAATCAGTTTCTTCTACTCCAACTAAATAAGTACTAGGCAGATATTTCAATGCTATCCTGATTAGTCTGCTCAGGACAGAACTCACCTTGGGTCAGGCCTACCTTTCCCATGAGAAGGAACTTTGCTCAAACAACTTCATAACTCACAAGCGTCTACAGTCCCATTAAAGAAAAAGGCTCACCTTCACCAGCACTGGTTGCTAGAATGACTTAATAAGACTTGAGAATTCAGTAATCCAAAAATGTAACATAAAAACAAATTTTCCTTCTCCCCAAATCTGTAACCCCGAAAGGTAACCTTTCTACAGACCAGACAGCACTGTGCAGTGCTCTGAATATATCCCGGATGCACGGCAGGCCTTCCCCAGCAGATGGTCAGTTGGTCCAGAACGCATCCCACACCCTGCTTCCTTGGTCTGAGCTCATCCCTGAGTTTTTAACAAAGCCATAAACCTGGCCAAATATCCTCTCCTTTTAAGAAGCAGAGAGGGTCACAATCTTTAGGCACAATTATAATACTTAACTGGCCACTGCCTTGATTGGCTTAAATGCACATTGTAGGTGATTATTTAGCCCCTACTACTGATATTTTCCAAAAGTGACCTTTATAAATTAAAATTTAATTAGTTCATAATAAAACACATCATAGTTAACTGTTTCCTAATCATTTTGGCAATCCTTCTGCATGGCCTATCATCAAGTAATTAAAGTGGGTAACTCCAATTAGACATTTCTACTTCTTTCTGAGAGAAATTATAAGAAATGGTGAAATGTTCCACAAAGAAACTATAAAGGAAAGACAACTTTAGGTCTTCTGTATCCATTATACAGAGCTCCAAAACTTGTTCATGAATGTGGATGGAAAAAAAGCATGTCAAAACTAAAGTACAGAAACAACACCATTAACTCTAACACCATGTACAAAGCTTCCCCAAATCCTTTACCACATTGATGCATGTTCATCCAAGAAGTGTTCACAGCCCCCAAGACAACAAGTTCCTACCATGTAGGTTCCAAAAGTATGAAATGCTGTGCCTTTCTCAAGAAGCTGCCACACACAGGGAAGATGTCTCCAAACAACACCAATGACAAAGGCATCTGATTTCATTTACTCACCTATTTCTGCCTGCAGCGATCCTGGGAAATCTCACTGAACAACTTCAGAAAATGCTACCTGGAGAAGCAAATTGAACAAAAGTTTAGTTTTGGAACTAAGACAACTTATCATGCAATTTTATCTCATTAAAGTAAGTACTATTTCTTTAAATATTGGTTCCCAGGTCAATAGTTCAACTTATATTAGAACATAGCCACTCCTTCCTGACAATACTGATTCAGAGTCCAAATTGCTCTTGAGGGAGGGAGGGTAAGAAGAAGGGAGGGAGGGAGGGAGGGAGAAAAAGACAGACACAGAGACATGGGGGTGGTGGGGGGAGGGAGGGAGAGAGAGAGAGAGGGAGAGGGAGAGAGAGAGAGAGAGAGAGAGAGAGAGAGAGAGAGAGAGAGAGAGAGAGAGAGAGACACACACACCAGGGAATGTGGAGTTCATGCTGCACCTTAATTACATCTTTTCCTTTCCCTTCACAAAGATCAACTTGAAAATACACATCTATGACACCATGTTATGAACAGCCATAAAAGACTAGATCCAGGAATAAATTAAGGAATTAAGTATGAAATTATGAAAAGAGAAACTATCCTAACAGCACTTTTTATCTGTTTCACTTACTCTGTTAACTTATTTAAAGCTGTTAAAAATATCAAAAACTGAAGAAATAGGAAAATGGCCACGAAGACTGCAACAGTAAAAAACTGAGAAAATTTTATTTAATGATTTGTTTATTCAAAAATTACATATTTTGGTGGTTTCAAAGTGTTTTAAGTAACCTTTAGAAAATGATAAGCCTTTTAGTACACTCATAAAATAGACAATCCAGAAATAGCTTTAAAATATTATGTGTAAATGGAACAAATTTCTAGTATAACACAGCACAGTTCCCATTTATTGAAAACATATTATGCATTTGGGACTGTCTGAAGTGCTGTAATTTTTTCAGACAAGTACTATCTCTATCAACAGATGATGTCAAATGGGGTCAAGAACATCCCCCCACACTACACAGCTCCAGAGCTCCTGAATACAGTATCATATTCATGCTGCCTGTGGAGTCTTGCTCTGGAGAGCACACCTTCCACCCACAGAGAGAACCCATCATCTCCTGGAATAGGATCCTGACGTTTCTGAATGTGTAACTCTACAAAAGAAATCATACAGCAGGTACGATTAGCTATTTGTTTTTCCATATGTCAAAGTAATTTCTTCATTTAAAAATAATTAGGCTAGTAATACTACTTATAACATTGTACATGGGTAAATGCATACAAATAACTCAAGATATATTAAAAACATCATTAGAGGGCTGGGGAGATAGCTCAGCAGTCGAAGTACCTGCCTGGCAAGCATAAGGACCTGAGTTCAATTCCTGGTATTGCAATCCGTGCTAACCTAAGAACCCCGGGCGGGCCGTGCCAGCCACCGAAACCAGGCATGGCGGTTCACGCCTGTAATCCCAGCACTGGAGAGGCTGAGACAGGAGGATCACTACAAGTCTGAACTGCATAGTGAGACCCTGTATCAAATAAAGAAATAAAAATTTTTAAAAATCATTTACAAGACATATGTTTAATCACATATGAGGTGGATCAAACAGAAAACATTACGAATTTCAATAACTAAACAGAAAACCAGAAAAAGTCTTCATGCCCCTTTTCCATGTGGAAGTTTCAAATTGGGACTGACAATGAAATTTGTAACAGTGAGCTACATGTAACCACACTTATAGCTAGGTAACTATTTAATTTCCAAATAGTTCTGAAAATCTAGTAGGTAAACTAAAAGTTCCTCTGGCTAAATAATTATGCTATCTTAGCGATAAATATGAAGATACTATATAATAGTAATTGGCTTTTACATTATAAAAACAAATACCTAAAAGAAGCCAAACTCATAAAGTCTTTTTTTACAATAGCCTAGGGAAGCCATGATTTTTTTTTTTTCTTAAATGGTTCTCTGTAAGCTAATTGCTACCTAAATTCTAAGGATTCCCTACAAATATTTTTATGTGGTATGCTTTCTATAAAATGAACCATTTTAAGGGTTATAATGAATGGATCTGATACAGTTTCTGATAAACATTTTGTTACTCTTAAAAGCTAAATAAGTCACAGAAATACTTGAATCTTATCACTGTTCAAAAATCAGGGTTGAGAAGATAGCTCAGTGGAATAAGCGCTTGCCTGGCAAGTGCAGGGTTCTGAGTTCAATCCCTGGTACCACAAAAAAAAAAAAAAAAAAAATCAAAGGTAACATTTTTTTTTTCCTTTTTTACATACCATAAAAACAAAACTTTTGACAAAGACAGATCCTAAGACTCTCACAAGACTACAGAAAGTAGTGTGGTACATTATTCCTCCCTACAGTTTTTTAAGCTCACATGCATGGTAAAAAATTTCCTAGAATAAATAAATATGACACAAAGCTCTGAAGAAAAAAGACATTTAGGAATAAATTCTCGGTATCATGATTAAGCTTTTTTCTGACAAAGCAACCACTGAAATCAGAAAGAACAAATAAACTAATTCTGTTACTGGCTTTGGTTGGTAAATAGTTTTATTCTTTTTTTAAATTTTTTTTATTTTAGGGAAGTGTCTACAGGGTATTCAGGGTCTTACTACTACATCAAACTCCTAGTGATCCGCCTGTTTACAGCCTCCCAAGAGCTGGGATTACTGGCATGATCCACCATGCCCAGTCTCAATTGCCCTCTCAGCATGCCCCAGGGGCAGGGCTGGCACTGCAAGCCTGGGGATCGAACCCCCGGGCCCTGCCCCTGTTTGCAGGTGCTTTAATCTGCCGAGCTACTTGACTGGCCCTAAAATTTTTATTCTTTAAAAAAAGCTATTTCCAAAAATTACTTAAAATATAGTCAGCCAAAGAGCCTTCAAAAACTCACAAAAGAAATACTTAATGTATTAGGATAAACTGTCAGGCACTGTTGTATGTACTTGGTAGGAATTAGCTCCTTTACTTCTCACAAAAGGCCTAAGAAGATACTGCAGTTATCCCCATCTGAAAGATGAGGAAGCAGGTACAGAGATGTTTAAAGAACTTTTCAAGAGCTACATGGCTCACAACAGTGTTATATTATATTACCATAGCTGAGCTTAACAATTATAAATGCAGATGGAGACGAGAACTTCAATCTCATTTTAAATCTGAGGAAAAGTGCTATTCTAAGGAGTATAGACTGTCTCAGTCACACTTCTAATCAGTACCAAGGGTTAAGAACAGAACCCAGGGTATCCACCTCTGAGGAAAAAGGCTGTTTCTGCATACGCCTACTTTTGGGTTACGGTCTCTAAATCCATGTAGAGTGTGTGGTACCTTTCATCACTGCGATGACACTTCAGGATCCTCCCACGAGTGCTACAAGTGTAGCCCAGACCAAGGCATTAGCACACCTCTGTGTTGTCAGTTTTCCATGTCTTCATTTCATGGTTGTTACACACACAGATTGGTATAAAAACTAGAAATACTTGTCTTCATTATTTGTCATTTTTTCACCTTTACTTTTGTATCTATCTTATTAGTTTGCTTGGTAATTTAAATTTTTATAGCCCAATAAATGCAGGTGTTTCCTATTTTAGTAAGGATTCTCAATACAATTGAAACCAGTGTTTTTGCACAATATGGAGTTTAAAAGTTTTTACTATCCATTCATCTCCATTTGTGTTACACGCCCCCAGCCCCACTTCCACAGGCAAGAAGAAAAACAATAACTGCCTTTTGTGCCTCAGTGCAGTGCCCACATGAAGGGTACCAGCGCTTACTCACTGAACTGAATTGCAGAAAACAGGAAAAAGTTTCTCAATTACAAATTTGTCCAGCTGGGATCATTTCAAATTGCTCTGTAAAACTAGAATGAAGGAGTGAAGAGTTACAAGGATAAAATTCAGTTTAGTTTTTTTAAAGCTCTGTAACAAACTGAGTTGTCCAACCACAGTTCAGTTTCCTCTGTAAGGCAGCTGCTCTGACCACACAACCACAGGACAAAGTCTCAGTAGCTATCTTGGACCACGGAGAGTCCTTTCCTGAAACCCAAGATGTCTCACTCCTTCCATCCAGGGCACTTTCCAGTTCCTTTTTCTCATATGATCTATCCTATGAGTACAAATGGCTAGGGTGTGCTGGAGACAGACATTTATCACTCCCAACTTTCAGCCTAGGAACTTGAGCAACTTAAACTGAGTCACACAGTTAGTGAGTGCGAGAAGTTGGACCTCACTAGGATTTCTGACTCCCAAGGCATTTCCAGCTTGTTGCAGGTAATTTCTACAACAACCAAAAAACATGATGTTTTGGACCATTATATCTATTATCACAGGCAGGTGAGAGGAGAGGCCCCAAAGTATGGAGGCGAATACCAAAGGAGATTAGCTAATGACAAAACCTCTGAGGAGTTCTACTACTCTCACAAGCCACCCTTTCTAGCTCATGAACAAGAGTTCATTATAATTTCATTAGGAATGTTCTCTAAGGCTCTGTTTACATGAGTCAACAGAAAGAATCGTTATCCAAATTCTACTTTTACTGTGCTTTGTTGATACAACATATGCTTAAGGAAGTGTGCCCTTCAAGGGCAGTCTGTGGCAATAGAATAAATACAATGAGCAGTGTCCTACTTCTATATTCAAAGTATGGATTGTGGTTCAAGGCTAAGCTGGTAGTTATTAAAGAAAAAAAGGTCACTTAAACATATTTTCTCACAATTAGCCAGTACAGCCTCACACTTATATCTGACAACAATAGTTTAACAGAAATGGGTCAGTCATTCAAAGACTGCTGAAACCTGTAAGTTTTTTTCAAGGAAAGACACAAAAGTGTCAAATTTCAAGAACCTGTCTACCAAGCACAGAAGGTGGCAGGCTGCCAAAGGCTGGGCTGCTTTCACTCACATGAAATGCTGGGAACTTGAATCTCTTATATTGCCTGCCCTGCTGCTCAGCCACAGTGGTGAATGACTCAATTTCAACTTTCCAAAGACCTCATGAACTGTAAGTCACATGCTGGTAATCACGAAAGTGTCCTTTTACATTTAGGATGGAAAAACTCCT